GCAGCGAGGCAATTATCCATACTGCAAGGGCCTATACGTGTGCAAACCCCAACGCTCTGATGCTGCAGGCGGACTTAGCAAACGCGTTTAACTCCATTAGCCGGGCGTCAGTAGTTGACGCACTGCGCGCCTCACCACTCCAGAGCATCATCCCTTTAGTCAGGGCGTCGTATAGTAAGCCGGCCCAGCTGTTCCTGGACGCGGGGTTCGAATGCGAGGTGCTGACCAGCGAGACAGGCGTGCGACAAGGGGACCCGCTCGGCCCGCTACTTTTCGCCGCCGGGATCCACCCCATTCTCACCCAAACTGCAGCGGCCTATCCCTCCGTCCTGTGCCTGGCGTTTGCTGACGATGTTACCTTCCTAGGCGCAGCTGCCGAATGATCAGAAGCCTTCCGCCACTTCACAGCAGGGTTACGTGATGTGGGGCTGACGCACAACCCAGAGAAGTGCGCCGCATGGAGCGCGGCGCCTCTTGACCCCCTGATTCTGCCCGAGGGCGTCCTGTTGAGCACAGAAGGGCTGCGTGTGCTAGGAAGCTTCATCGGCACGTCAGACGGCGCAGCAGCCTTCCTACGGGAACAGCTACAATCTATGTCCTCCCCCCTATCTCACCCCTCACACATGGACCCACAAGTAGTATCACTGCTACTAACTCGCTGCATCTCCAGACGCGTGGCCTACCTAGCACGGACCACACCCCTGTACCTGCTACCAGACGACGAATGGTCTAATTGGGGGCGGGGCCTGCTTTACACACCCCTCGATGCTTGTGGGGTACACCACCCGAGGGGCGAGGTGGAGGAACAACGGGTGTGGGACCAGGCATCCCTCCCACCGAGCTTGGGCGGCCTGGGCCTCACCGACCCAGCCGTGGAAGGCCGCTACAGCTTCCTGGCGAGTGTCGTACAGGCGCATACACTCCTAGGGCCACTTGAGGGGGGGGCAGGGGCCACATTGGCAGCGGCACTGGACAGCCCCGGGACAGCAGACCTCAACCACAGTGAACTAAACAGGTGGATCCAGAGCTGCAGGGACAGCCTCCCGCAGGAGGCCAGAGACCTCATCTCAGCAGAGCAGGAAAAACCCAAGGGCCAGCTGCAGCACCGCCTTGCCCTCCTTGTCCACGGGGCCCGTAGCGCAGCCTAGATAACAGCATCCATGCAGATAGAGTTAAACCCCCTGCTCGGCCACACCCAACGCCTCATGTCCCTCACGGGATATGGGGCAGGAGATTGGCTCCTAGCGATCCCCTATATGCCCTCACTCCGCCTCTACCCCTGCCACTTCACGTTCGCCCTCCAATTCAGACTTGGACTGCCACTCTCTGTGCCCGAACGGTGTGTCTGCAGCAAGCGGGTCCCCATCCTGGACAAGAGGCTGCCGAACCACCTGCTGCGGTGCGGTACTGGGCACGGCCGCACCAACACTCACAACGAGCTGCGCGACGAGTGCATACGCATGGCGCAGGACGCAGGATTTGCAGAGCACAAAGAGTGCACTGCCTTCAGCCCCGTGGATAACAAAAAGGCGGACCTAGCTTTTAGGGATGGGAGCTCGGGGCGGTGTGGCTGGCAGATATCACCATCACGGACCCAATTAGCAAGCGGGACGAGAATGCACGGAAGGGGAGGGGCTGGGCAGCACGGGAGGCGGCAGACAAAAAGATAGACCTCTACCACGGCAGGGCAGAGTTTGCAGGGTTTGTCCCATTGGCTGTAGAAACCTACGGCTGCCCCTGCGACGAGGTGCCAACCTTCCTAAAGCTACTGGCAGACAAGGCTGCAAGGAGACTCTTCAATGCGGACCCATCTACCTACCAGGCCGCGAAGATGCTCCACCAGTTCCGCCAGCGCTGGTCCGTTGCCCTCCAGAGAGCCCAGGCAGTAAGCGTTCTTACAAAGCTGCACCTGGCTGCCCATGCAGAGAACCCACCACTAGGGGGACCAGAGGGGGCGCTGAACCCAGGGGATTGCTTCTCAACACTAGAGGCCGCATAAAGGAAGGGGGGGGGGGGGGGGAGAGAGGCAGGGGTGTGTGGTTGCTTGGGTAGGTTACATTTAGGTTTTGCTTGCTTGTCTTATTGTTCGTTGCTACCTTCCTTAAGCTTTGCATGTCTGTACCAGCCCCTATTATCAATACAAGGACCATTAGAGAGAGAGAGAGAGAGAGAGAGAGAGAGAGAGAGAGAGAGAGAGAGAGAGAGAGAGAGAGAGAGAGAGAACGAGAGAGAGAGAACGAGAGAGAGAGAGAGAGAGAGAGAGAGAGAACGAGAGAGAGAGAACGAGAGGGAGAAAACGAGAGAAGGAACGAGAGATAGAGAGATAGAGAGAGAGAGAGGAGAGAGAGAGAGAGAGAGAGAGAGAGAGAGAGAGAGAGAGAGAGAGAGAGAGAGAGAGAGAGAGAGAGAGACAGAGAGAGTCTTTAATAAACTACGGCTTGCTACAATTCAAAATGGCGTAGCATCTTGGGTTGCTGCCCTTGTACAGCGACATGAACAGATACATGAATACGACATAATGCTATGACATAAATTAAACAAAGAAACAAAGACATACAACAACAAGAGAAATATGTTAAGGTCTTCTACTGAGTGTTCCTCTTGGATTTGCGAAAAATATTGATGTCACAAAGTTTGAATAAGACGGACAACTTTTCTAAGACCTCTGAGCTTTCTCACGACACTTGAAAAAAACGAAAAGAAGAAACGGTGTTAAGATAAGGAGATGTAAAAGAACTTGAATAAGGAGACACAAAGATAGGCGGATAAGAGAAAGAGGTGGACGGACGAGGAGGAGGGGGACGAGCGAGAAAGTTGGACAAGAAGAGAGACGCCATGATGTTCTGTAATCTACATAGTAATCATAAAACGTCGTCTAGAATGACCTACCACGAGGTACTTCTAAGAAAATCTAGAGAAGATCGTAGACATTATCTTGGCTTTAGTACGTAAACTGCTATTTAGTCCCTAGAAAGCTCACCTTAGAAGCTGGAGTACAAGTATGTGAAGGAATCGCGGGGAGGAGCTGGGAGTAACGGAAGTGACAGGAGTGGCAGGACGGCACCAGCGAGAAAAAGATTTACACCCTAGAAGCCGTTGAATTTTTGTTGAATTCCTATCGGTTCTAAACATTTGAACATATGAACTTACAGCTTGTTTAGCATAGCCCCTTGATGCATATTCTGTGAATACAGCAATCGCGGGTTCGAATCTCGCTTTAGTCGTGAAATTTTAACATTTCTAGAATCAACAAGTATCCCCTACATAAGTGGCCTCTGTTGTAAACTAGAACCCTGAAACAAACATTACAATAGTATATGAACAAACAATGCTTCGCAACCCTAAGACGATTTCGTCGCCTCTTGTTTTTTTTTTTTTTTTTTTTTTTTTTTAATGACTTGGCTGAAATTTCAGCCAATTCTTATGAGTGTAGGCTGAGCCCTCAGCCTTGTATCGAGGGCGCACACTGAATCCGGCAATACAGTGATTTTCGCCAGCTTGTAGGATTACCGGTAGCACTATCAATCACGGGTGGGAAATCAACCCGCAAGGCCCCGCACTGTCGCGTTGGTACAACAAAGCGGCCAATCAGGGTTATCATGTTTGTGCTGTGTAAGCTGTGGTGAAGTAGCCCATATAGGGTACAACCCAGTTTAGGGTTTGCACTTGTACCCACATTCTGCTCAATGCAATCATTTCTGCTTGTTAGTTTTTTTTTTTTTTTTTTTTTTTTTCGGGCCCACCATTACCTAGTGACCGACTACGGTTACCGCGTTACCACACGCCCTGCCCTGCGCTGCGCCGTCAGCGCGCGCCCTGCCCTGCCCTGCCTTGCGTCACACTGCCGGTGTACGCCCTGCCCCACGTAGCGCTGCCCCGCGCACGCCCTGCCCTGCCCCGCGTCGCGCTGCCCGCGCACGCCCTGCCCTGCGTCGCGCTGCCCTGCTCACGCCCTGCCCTGCCCTGCGTCCTGCTGCAGCCCGCGCCCTGCTGCCCCGCGCGTCGCGCCCTGCTGCAGCCCGCGCGTCGTGCTCTACTGCTGCCCCGCGCGTCGCGCCCTGCTGCAGCCCGTACGTCGCGCCCTGCTGCCCTGCGCGTCGCGCCCTACGGCAGCCCGCGCGTCGCGCTCTGCTGCCCCGCGCGTCGCGCTCTGCTGCAGCCCGCGCGTCGCGCCCTGCTGCCCCGCGCGTCGCGCCCTGCTGCAGCCCGCGCGTCGCGCCCTGCTGCCCTGCACAGCGCGCGTCCTGCTGCCCGCGCCGCCCAGCCCGAGCCGCCCTGCCCAACCCGATCCGCCCTGCTGCTCGTGCTACTGCTGCTGCTGGTGGAGGTGCTGCAGCCTAGCCTCACCGAGCCGCTCTGCTGCTCTTACTGCTGCTGCTGCTGCTCGTGCTACTGCCTACCCTCCGTACTGCCCTACTGGACGTGCGCCTCCTTGCTTGCCCGCTATGACTTGACTTCCTAGTAGTGGTGGGAGTGTTGACGGCAGAGGTGGCAGCAGTGGGAGTGGTGGCGGCCGTAGTAGCACTTGCTGTGGAGTTTTTTGGTGGGGAGTTTCTGGCGGTGGCCAGATGCAGCTGCAGCGGCGTCCGCGCGAGACCCTTACGCCCCAGCAGCTTCGTGAGTGGTACGCCAGGTGGTGTTATGGCGGCGGCCGTCGTGGCAGTCGCGGTGGAGCTGGTCAGTGCGGAGTTTCTGGCGGTGGCCAGATGCAGCTACAGCGGCGTCCGAGCGAGACCCTTACGCGCCAGCAGCTTCGTGAGTGGTACGCTCAGAGTGGGGGGTCTAGGAGTACTGCCCGCTGCCCGTACGTCATTCGCACAGGTGATCGGGCTGGTCAGACTTGCGGGACAGTTGGTCACACAGAGGCTCGCTGCTTCGCCTGTCTGAGCGACGCCTGGCGTGCAGTGTTTGGCGACGAGGCTGAGGTCCCCCTCTGGCTAGAGCTGGTGCGCAACAAGGTGAATATATTTGCTTTAGACTATGACACTATCCTTACTGCCATGTATGCTCTGACTGGTAGTACTGAGGGTGACTGTTACCTGTGTGTGCCCCCTGACCCTGGTATAGCGGCTGCTGCTCTAGGTGCTAGTGAGTCTGCTCTCTCTGGTACTGCGCCTGCTGAGGCCTTGCACACCTTCACCCTTGACTCAAGTGCTTCACGCTGCTTCTTTCGCGACAACACTACTGTCACACCACTCCCTGCACCTGTTGCAGTCTCTCTGGCTGACCCCTCAGGGGGCCCAGTCCTTGCACGTTCCTCCACTGTTCTTCCGTGTCCGGCGGTTCCGTCTGGCTCACTGACAGGCCTTCACCTCCCCTCGTTATCTACGAACTTTGTGAGTAACGCCATCCTTCAGGATGCTTGGGTTGAAACACTTACCCCTGGAGGACAGCGTCTGGCGATCTGCACGTATGCATGGACGGGCCGTCACCTAGCCATGTTCACCCGTCGGCCTGGGTCGAGCCTATACACACTAACTACTGAGCCTTCGGACGTAGATGCGTCTGGTCAGGTGTCCGCGCCCGGTCAGGTAGCAGCCCCCTGCTCGTGTCGCCAGCTCTCACACCAAATTGTCCTCTGGCACCACCGTCTTGGTCACCCCTCCCTGCTACGACTCCGTAGCATGCACTCCCGCCTCCTTGTCTCTGGCCTTCCCAGGTCTCTGCCCCCCCTCCCGCGCTCGCCTGCCCCGCCCTGCCTTCCTTGCGTCGAGGGGCGGCAGCACGCCGCTCCTCACTCCTCCTCGTTCCCTCCTACAGAGGCTCCTCTGCAGACTCTCCACATGGACGTGTGGGGCCCAGCCCGCGTCCAGGGACAGGGCCGCGAGAGGTATTTCCTGCTGGTTGTCGACGACTACACGCGTTACACTACGGTCTTCCCCTTGCGCAGCAAGGGGGAGGTCCCTGATGTCTTGATCCCTTGGATCCGCGCTGTCCGTCTCCAGCTCCACGAGCGGTTTCACACGAACCTTCTTGTCCTGTGTCTGCACTCTGACAGAGGTGGTGAGTTCTCCTTCGACCTCTTGCGGGACTTCTGTCAAGCGGAGGGCATCCTCTAGTCTTTCATTCACGCTTCCGGCCTCCCCGCAGCAGAATGGGGTTGCTGAGCACCGCATTGGCTTAGTCATGGAGGTCGCTCGTACCTCGATGATCCATGCGGCCGCTCCCCATTTTCTGTGGCCGTTTGCGGTCCGCTACGCTGCGCATCAGCTCAACCTCTGGCCTCGTGTCTCCTTGCCGGAGACCTCGCCCACATTGCGTTGGACGGGGAAGGTTGGCGATGCGTCGGTGTTCCGAGTTTGAGGCTCTCGTGCCTTTGTCCGCGATACCTCCGCGGACAAGCTCTCCTCCCGCACCATTCCCTGTGTCTTCCTTGGCTTCCCCCCTGATGCGCCTGGCTGGCAGTTTTACCACCCCACCTCGCGACGTGTTCTGTCTTCTCAGGACGTCACGTTTGACGAGTCGGTTCCCTTTTACCATCTCTTCCCCTACCGCACTGCCCTTCCCTCCTCCCCCCCCCCCCCCGCCGCTCTTCCTCGCTCTAGGTCCCCCTCCGGTAGATCTTCTCCCCCCTCAGGGTCCTGCTCCTTCAGGTGTGTCTCAGGTAGACCCACTTCCCTTGGCTGAGCCTGTCGAGGTCACAGGTGACTCTGGTGCTGCTGGGAGTACTGAGCCTGGGGGTGCTGAGCCTGAGCGTGCGGAGCCTGGGGGTGCTGAGCCTACGGGTGAGGAGCCTTGGGGTGCTGAGCGTGAGCGTACGGAGCCTGGGGGTGCTGAGCCTGAGCGTGTGGAGCCTGGGGGTGCTGAGCATGCGGGTACTGAGCCTGAGCGTGTGGAGCCTGGGGTTGCTGAGTCTGGGGGTGCTGCGCCTAGGGGTACTGCTTCTCCACCCCGAGAGCCTCTCTCGCTGCGCGAGTGGTACGCTCAGCAGCTCCGCTTTCAAAGTGGCGCTGCTGGAGCTGGAGGCGCTGGAGCTGCTAATCATGGAGGTGCTCGTACTGGAGGTACTGGAGCTGCCGGAGCTGGTGGTGCTGCCAGTACTGGGTGATGCTGGCACTGTTGGTCCCGGAGGTGCTCGTACTGGAGGTACTAGAAGTGCTCTCTCACCACAGCAGCTGCACAAGTGGTACGCTCAGCGCTGCCGCCTTCGGAGTGGCGTTGCTCTAGCTGGAGGCGATGCGGCTGGAGGCGCTGGAGCTGGAGGCGCTGGCGCTGGAGGCACTGGGGCTGGCGGCCTTGGAGCTGGAGCTGCTGGTCCTAGAGGTGCTAACACTGGAGGTACTGGAGCTGTCGAAGCTGGTGGTGCTGCTGGTGCTAGAGGTGCTGGTGGTACTAGCATTGCTGGTCCCGGAGGTGCTCGTACTGGAGGTGCTGGAGCTGCCGGAGCTAGTGGTGCTGCGGGCTCTGGAGTTGGAGGCGCTGGAGCTGGAGGCGCTGGAGCTGGAGGTACTGGAGCTGGAGGCGCTGGAGCTAGAGGCGCTGGCGCTGGAGGTTCTGGAGCTGCTGGAGGCGCTGGAGCTGCTGGTACTGGAGGTGCTGGTGCTGGTGGTACTGGTGCTGGTGGTACTGCACAACCGCGACTTATCTTCGCTCCACCGTCGCCGTCGTCTCTGCCACTGCCTGACTCGGTAATTCGCCAGGTTCTTAGCCTTCCGTCTTCTACTGGCCTCCCGTTACAGCCAGGCTCCCCACTACCTGCTCCTTCTCCTTACACTGAGCAGATAGACTCGCTTACAGAGCGTTGTGAGCCTGCGTCTCGTCCCGCCTCACCTGTTCGCGCTGTTCGCACTGGTCGTCGTGTTCCTCGTCAGCGTCCTCCTCCTTTCCGTGATACTCACACTATGACACTTCGTCCTTCCTATGTTCCACATCGTGTCCCTCTACCGTCTCCTTGTGAGTCCTCTCTTCCGCACGTTCCGGACCCTGAGTCTGACCTGGTTCGTGCTGCCAGCCAAACTGTCACGCGTCTCCTAGCCACTATTGTCACTGACCCTTCGTTTGAGTCCACTGCTGCGTCTGCCTTAGTTGCTGAGCTTGTTGACTTTGCTGCTGCTTGTCGTCTCGACTACGCCGCTAGTCTTGTTGCTGAATCTGAGTCTGTCTGTCCTCCGTCCGTCGAGGGTGAGTGTGCTCTTGGCACGGACGTCCTTGAGGACAGTCAGGAGGATTTTGAGTGTCTTGCAGCTGTTGTACCTCATCTCGTGGCCATGCTGCTTGCACCTGAGGGAGACTCGGATGCACTGGACATCCCGACCCGCGCTCTTACTCAGAAGCGATTACAGGTCCCTACTCCTCTCAGTGGCAGGCAGCCATGGATGCAGAGATGGCATCCTGGAAGTCCACAGGCACTTACGTTGACGCAGTTCCCCCTCCTAGGGCGAACATAGTCGATGGCATGTGGATTTTCAGGGTGAAGCGGCCGCCGGGTTCTGTCTTCAAGGCTCGTTACGTTGCACAAGGCTTTAGTCAGCGACAGGGAGTTGACTTCTTCCAAACCTTCTCCCCTACCCCGAAGATGACCACTCTTCGGGTGCTGCTGCACGTTGCCGCTTAGCATGACTACGGGCTTCACTCTCTTGACTTCAGCACAACTTTCTTACAGGGCAGCCTGCACGAGGAGATCTTGCTGCGCCGCCCACTTGGCTTCACTAGGTCGTTTCCTTCAGGTACCCAGTCGAGCCTCCGGCGGCCAGTCTACGGTCTTCGCCAGGCGCCTCGTGAGTGGCACGACACACTGAGGTCGACAGTTGCGGCACTTGGATTTGCTCCTTCGATTGCAGACCGGTCGCTGTTTCTCCTCACCGACACTTCACTGCTGCCGTTCTTCATTCTCCTGTGCTTCGACGATTTGGTTTTTGCCACTGCTGACACTGAGGCACTCGCCCTTGTGAAGTTGGAGCTGCAGAAGAGACACACGTGCACAAACCTGGGTGAGCTGCGCAGCTACCTTGGCTTGCAGATCACCCGGGACAGAGCACGCCACACCATCACCCTGACTCAGTCACACATGGTGCACCAGGTCCTTCAGCGCTTCGGCTTCACTTGGTCCTCGCCACAGTCCACTCCTCTGGCTACCGGTCACTCGCTCTCAGCTCCACCTTCGAACGAGTCCGAAGAGCCAAGTGCCCCGTATCAAGAGCTTGCGGGCTGCCTCATGTACCTGATGACCTGCACTCGTCCTGACCTTGCGTACACTCTTAGCATCCTGGAACGCTGCGTGGCTCCCGGTAGGCACCGAAAGGTGCACTGAGATGTTGCGAAGAGGGTGCTGCGTTAATTGTGCAGTACATCGGGCATGGGGCTCGTGCTTGGAGGACGGGGTCGAGTTGTCCTCACTGGACACTCAGACGCATCTTATGCTGACGACCTGGCTACGCAGCGGTCGTCACAGGGTTACACATTCAGCCTTGGCTCCGGCTCTGTTTCTTGGCGGTCTACCCGCTCGTCTTCTGTTCTCAGCTCCAGTTGTGAGGCTGAGATCTATGCAGGAGCCATGGCTGCACAGGAGTTATGCTGGCTCACCTACCTGCTGACCGACTTGGGAGAGCGGCCTCGTTCTCCTCCAGTTCTGTACGTAGACAACAAGGCCGCTATTGCCTTGTGTCAGGAGCACAGACTGGAGCACAAAATGAAGCATATCGCTCTGCGTTACTTCCTTGCTCGAGAGTTGCAGCAACGTGGTCAGCTTCGTCTTGCTTACGTGGCCACTCGGGCCAACACTGCTGATATATTTTCCAAGGCCCTGTCGCCTGGTGATCATCAGCGTTTCTGCACTAATTTAGGCCTTGTGCCTGCTTCGTCTCACTTGCTCACTGCGTGACTTTGCTTGTACTGGTACACTTGCATGCTTACTCTTGCTAGGTAGTGATCACTGTACTTTTTGTTCTCTTTTATATAACTATGTATATGAACTGGCCTTGTGGCCATTTGCTTGTGCTCGGAATGTGTGGTGACTTCGTGATCCGCCCTGAGCTTGCTTTGATTTTCTGGATTGGTCTTGTAACCCCTCATTCTTCCCCACTTTGCCTATGGGGGTGTGTTAAACTATAATGATGCTTTGCCCATACGGGGTACAACCCAATTAGGGTCAGTACTTGTACCGACTTTCTGTCCAATGCAATCATTCTTGCTTAGTATTCTGACAAGACAATCACCTCCTCTGATTGCGCACGTGCATTTGCATGTGTTGGTGGTGGTGCTGGTGCATTTGCCGTTGATTGCTGTCGGGCGAGATCGCGTTCTGCCGTGAGCGTCGTGATCTCGAATGCCGAATCTTCGAGTTGACGCACGAGTCGGTCGAGTTGTTCCTGCGTCAGTGCCGCGATATTGAATTTGGCCTTGGCGGGGGTGTCAGGCAAGCTCAATGAGAGCCTCAGTCATGTCCGTGCGTTCTTTCGGGAGAGCACTTCGAGCGGCGGTGCTTGAACGTTGGGACAGTGGGTGTTGAAGGAAATTGGCCCCGCCCTCGCATGGGCAAATTGACTTGTGGTCGGGTGTGCGGGAGGTGCAGCCGACCTTCTGCAGGTGTACGAGGGTTGCCTGTACACGAGGTGTACTAGGGAATCCATGCAAGAGTAATTGAAGCATCCGCGAGTGCAATACAGTCTTCCCGTGCGCATGTACAAGTTGTGCAACTGGTGCAGAAGTTCGCGGGTGTCCGTCTGCGCAGGGTCGCGTTTGACCCTGCGCAACATTGAGACTGCACAGGCGAATTTTGGCCAGAAATTCGAATGTGCCTTAATTTCGACCAATCAAGAGCTGACATTTGAGTATCTCGACCGAGGTGTCCGACGAAGATGTTCGACGAAGGTCGTCGAACCCCGACGACGAAGGTCGTCGACCCGCGACGACGAAGGTCGTCAACCGGTGATGACGAAGGTCGTCATCCTGCAGAGGTGCCAGGGACTTCACCTGGTTGACCAAGTTACCTGCTCGACGAGGTGCGCGAAGGTGTGCGAACGTCGTCGAGGCTGCTGTGGCGAAGTCGACTGACGTGGCAGCACGTGGTCGACGTGGCTCATCATGTGCAACCGTCAGCATGTGGCTGACAACCTGCGCAATGTACTTGACAGTGCACGTCGTGCATAACTGTCTACAAGCACCTGCGAAGTAGGTGCTTGCACATGTGCTTACAATCACCTGCGGATGCAATGTTGGCAAGCCGCGCGAATGCAGCGTTGGCAGGCCGCCATCTGCAGCGTTGGCAAGTCGCGTACGAGCTGCGTTGGCGGACCGCAGACTTGCTACGTTGGCAGGTCGACAACTCTGTCACGCTGGCAGTCGACCTGCCTGAGCACTAGCAAACCTTGCATGTGATGTAGTCAATCTTTGCCATTGCATGCTCATTCTGAACTCTGTTATTCTCAACTTTTCTTTAGTGAAACTCTTGCTGTTTTGCCCTGTGAAAACACAAGTCCTAGAGAACACTGACAGAGCTATGTTCACTCCTACAACTCGTGCCTACCTAGTAGTCTAGCTCCCACCGTTGTAGAGTTAATCTCCTCATGGTGCGGTGAGCGTGGACGGCCCCGCAAGGATACCTTCAGATAGGAGCCGACTTTTGCACCTACTAAGTCGTTCGTAGGCCGGCAGCAACGCTAGTCACCATGGTCGACCCCGTTGTAGAAGCGGGTGTAGCGGACACCTTGGAGACTCGTTTAGCTGATGCGAGGAGACGCCACGAGGCTGGCGAGTACGGGACGATCCCCTTGGAGATCGTCGAGTTGGGCATCCGGGCGCAGTGGGCGGCGGAACACCCTTCTCTTCCTGCATCTCCTCCCCGACCGGCACGCAACGAAGGTGGCGTTGACGAGGAGGTCAACAGCGGTGCAAGAGTTCGTGGCAACGAGGGCACGAGGCAGATAGGAGTGCTCAGGTCTGCCGACGGTGGTGTCGGCGGGAGTCAAGTGCGAGTGCAGTGGTCGACGGCGGCTGCAGACGTCGATGGTCGACGACGCTCTCCTCAACGAAGCAGTGGAAGTCCCTCGGCGACGACGCACGTGACGGCGGGCGGGATCGCGCCGACGTATGGCTACTTCAAGTTTTCGCCGGACAAGATCACTGTCGCACCTCTGCGAGGTCGACGGGACCTCATCACGTGGAGGGAGTCGATAGAACCACAGCTGGAGGTCGCTGGATTGAAGGGCTTTGCCGACGGTACTGTGCCAATTCCGCACGAGGATGAAGTCGAGCTGCGCGGGGAGTTTCGTGCTGCTCACTTGCTCACCTTCATGGTCATCTCGAGGTGCTGCTCGCCGGTGGTGCAGCTAGCGCTCAGGAGCTGTCGAGAGCGTCTGGATGCTGGTCACCAAGCATGGCACTTCATCCTGACGACGTACCAGGCGAAGGACGACCTGTACATCGGACAGCTGGAGGAGAAGATGACACATCTTCGGATGGGTGAGCAGGAGTCGGCGACGGACTACTGCAACCGTGCTCGACGGATACTGGCCGAAATGCGGATGGCGGGCGCCGAATACTCTACGGCGTCCTACATCACCCACGTCGTCAAGGGCCTGCCGCGTAGCTACAACCTCATGAAGAGGATGATGATGGTGCCTGGCACGCGGGAGTCACTCGACGAGGACTCAATCACCAGCTACATCCTTCAAGATGAGGCTATGCAGGAGGCAGAGCAGCCCACGGAGCTCCTTCCGCAGGCGAGTTACGCTGCACCGACGAAGCAGAATCGTCCGCAGGGGCAGCGAGGAAAGTCTGGCGGATGTGGAAGCGGAGGTGGGAGGTCGGCGAAGGACGCCGACCAGGCGAAATCAACTCGTGACAATGGTCGTGGCAAGGGTGGTCGACGGCGTGAGTGCTGGGTCTGCGGAAGCGCCGACCACCTCTCCTGTGACTGCCCAGATCGTGAAGACACTGACGACGATGACCACAAGGGAGGCCGCGGAAGGTCGGCCAACGGTCGTCAAAGTCGGGACGAGAAGCCGCGCAAGGAGAAGCAGACGTCGAAGAAGACGTCGTCGACGAAGGAGGTTGACTCCTCCAGCGGCAAGGGGCAAGGTGACGGAGAGGCTTCATGCTCAATGGTCAGCATGGTGGAGCAGACTGTTTCGCTGGCGCCAGAGGCCGGCGAAGACTTCAAAGCGGTCGCAGCAGCCGTGCAGGCGAATCCAATGGTGGTTCTGCTCGACAGCGGTTGCTCACACCACCTCATGGGGACGAAGGAGGCCTTCGTCGACATGGGGCCGAGCGGCAATGTGAAGCATGTGCGTGGCTTCAACGGGGCTCTGCAGACTGTCGAGGGCAGAGGCACCGTCGCTCTGCAAGGGGAGGCCGGGAAGCAGGTCCTCATCCCCGACGTGCTCTACGTTCCGGGTGTGCATGCGAACCTGTTGTCATCCGGCCAGCTGAAGGAGAATGGTGTGCTGCT